AGAGCGCGAGGAGGAGGAGAGGGGTAAGGTGAAAGGAGAAAGGCGGAGACGAGAAGAGAAAACAAAAAAAGAGAAAGAAGGCAAAGCAAAAAGGGGAAGGAGTGAGAGTGAGAGAATGAGGAAAGATGAGGAAAGAAACAATACGAGGAGAGAGAAGTGAGTTAAGGGGAGAGAAATAAACAAGGAGAAAGAGAGAAAAGACAAAGAGAGAGAAAGAAAGAAAATAAACAACAAACATTTGGACAAAGCAAACAAACCACAAAATACTGGAGATGCTGAAAAATCTGAAAACAAAAGCAGACATCGCTGGGAACACTCGGCTCTGACGAAGGGTCGTGGACCCAAAACATTGACTCACTTTGCTTTCTCCATAGATGCTGCCTGAGCTGCTGAGTGCTCCCACCAACTTCCGTTTCTATTTGGACAAAGGAGGTTGTCCAATTTATATTTGCCATAAATTGCTCCTGGATGCAATCTCTTTGACTCAGTTGAGTCTCATTTGAATGAATGTGGGTTCAAGTGCTGCACCAGGGTTTGAGGATTTTATCCGAGTTGAAACCCCAGTAAAGCACTGCATGTGCTGACCTTCAGCTAAACCTTCCCCCCGAGGTCTTTTCTCCTGTTCAGCGGATGTTAAAGATCCCATAGCAATGTTCGGAAGGGAGATGGGAGTTATCCTGGCACGCTGACCAATATTCCTCCAGTGAATTCAGATTAATTCTCCATTTATCCCATGTCTATTTGTGGGATATTGATGGTGCGGATTATATGCCACATTTGCCAACACCAACAACATCAAACAATTCCAAGGTCAGTCGACAATGAATTAAAAACAGAGTAAAGTTCTATCTATCTGTGCAATAACCTAATCTGATGGAATGAAACATTCTTCCCGGCTTTTATTGCACACTGTTTTAAGAAAAGGGAGTTTCTCCCAGTATTCTAGCAAACAATCCCCCAAATAAAATTGATTGTTCACTTCATGGCTTGTTTGTGGGACTTTGCTGTGTGCAAACTGGCTGCCGTGTTCACCCACAAATACACAGTCACTACATTTTACAGTAAAATCCTGCAAAATGCTTTAAGACATCTGGAGGACGTGCTGCATTGCAATATAAAACGCCAGGGTTATTGTAAGGTAAAACACAACCCATTCCAAATATAGCAAAGGTTGGGGATGAACAGCAAACAGCTGAACAATACTGTAGCTGAACCCTAATGTCTGAATAGCACCCTCTACTGCACCAGTGGGAAGATTTCAATCTCCAATTCCAGCCATACTGAGCGGGAGTGGGGGGGGTGGGGGGTTGGGGGGGGTAGGGTTTCCTGAGGAACATGTTAAAATGTGGCCAATTAAGGGGCAGTTGTGTGAGACGTCCTGGAAACTGGGCTGTGACTTGCCAAATTCATTATTGCTCATCAATATTACAACCACTTGGAAGATCTCCAGTGAGGTTCCAGTCAAACTCCCAGTCCTCGAGGTGGGGCTGGCACAGTCCCAGTTCCTCCTGCTCCTCCACCCCGCCCAGCCCGCCCGAGCTTACAACTTTATCACCGTCTCAGAGTAAAACAAACAAACAGAGTCATAACCACAGCACTGGGAGGTGCCTTGCAGTTTCCAGTGTGGAGCTCTGACCCTCTGGTTGCCAGACCAGCTCAAGTCTGTCACATTACCTCCGAACGCACCTGCCCTGCTGGGTGAATTTTAACCAGTTCTTGGGGTGGCCCACTAGAGGGAGCAGTTTAACAGCTCTACCAGATAGAGGTGATAGGCCATAGAGAGCGAGAGAGAGAGAGAGAGAGAGAGAGAGAAAGAAAGAAAGAATACTGGTAGGACTTTTCCGAATTATGAAGAGAGGGAGTGAGGAAGGGAAAGAGGTGAAAGACTCCCCGACATCACAAACCTGATCTGCTCCTTCAATGTCTGTTACCGGTTCAAACCGCGACACCTCACGCCTACGGAATACACGGTCGATTCGCTTTACCGTATGCTCTGTGAGGCGCTTTGAGACGTCTCGAAGACGTGATAAGGCGCCGTAGCAAATCCAAGGATTATACATGATTTTCAGGAACAAATAGTAGCCACCGTATCGTTTGAGTTTAGCTTAGCCTGAAGATACCCCGTCACCTGGTCCAGCGGGTCTCAAATGACCTCATAACCTGGTCCTCTTCAGACCGAGTGACCCGGCTGCCTCAATTCCTAATGGTCCGACACATTTTAAGAAGAGCCAGTCGCTGGCATCAAAAAGTTTGAGAATCGCTAACCGAGCAGACAGACGTCCAGTTTTTTGAAAACCAAACGAGGAAAGCTGTTCCAATTCCCCCTGATGCGGTACAAGGTAATAAGACAAGACGAGATAAATCGAATCATTATATTAAAACAAATTCACCAACGTACAATTTGGGTAGGTCGACAAGTGTTTAGATGCTTACTTCAACAACAGCAACTTGCATTTATACAGCGGCCTTTGCGAGGGATAGTGTCCCAGATCGCTTGACTGATACAGTTTTGCCGAATACAGATTCCTCATTGACCCAGAGGCAAAACTCCAAGATTTGCACCTTTTGGTTTGTACTGTGCCATTCCATAAACAGACACAGCATGAGACTAATCATTCCATTCTCCTGTGAGCCAAGGCATTTCCACACTGAACCCGGTTATTGTTTCTCAAATGTTCCTCAATCTCCGGAGGGTGGCATCGGGGGTGAGGTTGGGGGGGGGGGGGGGGGGCGAAGGGAAAGGGGAGAAAAGAGAAAAAAGGGGAATAAAACAAATAATTTTGTAGTTTAAAAAAAATCAACGAAAGCAAGTGAAGCTAAACCAGAATCTTAATACATCATTTTTTTTGCAAATGAATTACTAATAAAATCAGACACTTTTTACAAGGAGTCAAACAGTTACTGCTTCCACCCCTTGCCCCCACTTTGCAAATAAATAAACAAGTAAAATAATCTCAGGATGAAAGCTGTTGCAATCGAACTAAGCCGAGATCCCATTCCTGCAGCTTTTCTGCCGATGCACTGGTAGATTGCGAGTCAGCAGCTCCAGAAAAGAGCAATATTATAAAATCATTAGAAAACATGTCACCATTAGAGAGAACACAGGAGCGTTTTATGGCTAATATCCCATTTATTAGCAACATTCTTTTGCTGAATATTCCTCCTGCAACAAATGTTCATAACTTTTAATGGCAAACATTACAATCCAAGTAGATCTGCAAACCCCCGAAGAGAATTCAAAGACTATTGCAAATCCTATCATAATAACAGTAAAAATCACCAATTCTCCTTTGAAGCTGCAGTACGTTCCTCCATTGAGGCGGGGGACTACAGTACTGAATGCTGCAGTTTAGTAACAGAGAGCTTCTCTAATGAGAACCTGCACCCAGGGCCTCTCCGAAAGAACATGGTCAAAAACATTATTCGATATGGTGTTATCGTAAGTAACTTCTGATTTTTATAGCTCTCATTTGCCGGGGTTGCGTGCACGTTTGCCTTCACGAAACTTCCACCGCACCAACTTCAGCAGAGAAGGGTAAGATGTATTTTTTTTAATATATATATATAAAAAGGATAAACAATCTACCTTATCAAGCCGCTGAAATGTTGGACAGCTCCCTTGCTCCGGCTGTCAAGCAGTTGGCACATTATTGGGACATTACATGATTGACACAGCAACTAAGCAATCGGGAGTTCTTAATAGAATGTCAAGCTATAAAGACACCAATCAATGTCACAGGGAGGTGGGATTCACCTAACTACCTTGAAATTAAGGGACACAGATAAATGTCAAGTATAATCACATGGCGGATAAAGAGAGTAAATTCAGACTCCAGGGAGTAACAATGTTTTATATATGTGTATATGTTATATATATACATCGAAACGCAACCAGACTGCATCTGGAACCAACTTTTGTGCCAGCGAGCGTCATTTTTTGCCACGAATTGATTCGAAACTCCTTTGCTATCGTCGACTTGTTTTTTTTTTAAAAAAAAATGCAAATTTACGATTAAGGTTTCAAGCCATTTTTTTTCTCTCATGATTTGCGAGCTGTCTTTATTCTTCACAGCCAGCCGAACACGCAACAAAATGAAAACAGGAACGTTATTTTTACTCTCTGCCTCTCCTCAGTTTAACGCACGCATTCAGACCTCAGTAATAACACGGCGAAACACTGCATTTCCTCAGCACAGTCTCAAAGTGGCAAACGGTAAATTGAATTTAAATTTCTGTTAGTGTCGCTCAATGCCAGGCTATATATTTATGTTTCGTGCAGAAGGGAGCCACTTATTTTAACACAACCTGATAGTCACTCTCATCAGCATAGATTTCTGACTAAACTACAGAGCCAACACTGCAGTCCATTGTTTCAGAGCAAAGTAGGATTCGCAACAGACACCCGGCAAAGCTCTTAATAATCCTGAAGTGCACACAAAAAAAAGGATTCACTTCCACGCTTATCAAACACATTTCAAATTGTTTTAGACATTAATAATTTTTTTTGAAATGCAGAAGAATAAACTATTGCAGGATTTTGAAATGGTGAAAGCAAAAAACGTCAAAACCGACTCGTGCTTTTGAATGTTCTGCGACCATTTCACTTCACAGCCAGACAAACCTCATTTCAATCAAGGACAGCGATGCAGTCTCTCAACATTTTTTTTAAAACAAGACATTTAGTGAGTATTTTGCACTAGGTGCAATCTTGCAGCGATCTTGTCGACTGCAATGTCAATTTCGGTGTCTGACAAAGACAGATTGACAGATCACTTTATGGTAAAATACGAATAAAAAAGCTCCCTCTTTCTTTTCGCCTCAGTGATTTTTTTTTGTTGAAGCAACTGGTTACATATCCATGTGTGCTAGTGCTGGCAAGAGATCGGACAAAGAGAGCCTATTGAAATACCGGATCAGGTCACAAACACTGGGGAGGGTGAACATAGAGGCCAAATATTTTCATATCCATGAAGATTAAACAAAAAATAAGGTGTACTTACCCCAGGCAATGTCTTCTGCTCGTGCAAAGCACTTTGAGCCTTTAGAGCTGAATCTCTAGCACAGTATGTGAGGAAGGCACAACCTATATCAGAAACCAAGCAAATTAATCTAAACTGCAAATGTTAAGTGGTTTTACCTTCATTTCAATAAGTGCCGCAGATATGCACGAAGCCCTGGCCTCTTTCGCTCACCTTCCCGCAAAGCCACCTTACCTTTCTCAAGCAACCAGTTTTATTTATCTCAAAGCACTCCTAATTAAATCAGCCCTACACTTGGATTAAGCAGCCAAACAGTGATAACATAATAAACAAGCTTAGATGCAAGTGCATTTTTTTGTTGTTTTTTTCCTTTTTAAAAAATATCCAGTGTACAATCTATGCCAACAACATCCCCGTTACAATGGTCAATTGAAACTTAAATTGGTGCATATCAGTTGTGGCGCAGAAGAAAGTGGAACGGAGCTGTATTTACTCAGATAAGCATACGTTTATCTTAACTGTTTTGAGTTATGGGCAATAGCATTGGCTGAAGCGTAGACCTGGTTTGTGAGCAACTCTTTGGATTCTGTGCACAGATTCAGTATGCATTCCTTACTGCCTATAACTGCCTCATATGTGCAGCATCCCTCTCCAAATAGCAGCAACATTCAAGTTGCACAATTAGGAAAAAACAGTTATGAATAATAAAAAAAATCACATTAAGTATGCAGCAACACACATCCATAAAGTACATTTTAATTGTAACAAACACACACACACACACACACATGTACAAAGTAAGGCAAACTGCTACGATGCTGCAGACAGGCTGATAATGTGCAAAGGCTCATGCAGCTTTTTTTTAATATAACTCTCAAAGTTCAGGTATAAGTCAAATCGTATTAACATGTATGGCAACAGATGTCAATACTTACAGCTCTCATCATGGATGCTTGATGTCCAGCATCCTTTCTTTTAGATTTACATTGATAGGGAACAAAGCAACTGATTTCCAGTTAGGCATGTGCCTTATCAGAACCTGTGTTAATAAGATTTGACTATAAAAGGGTATGCATTAAGCTTATTGTCCATGCCAAAGTTGTTGACAGCTCTGGTTATATGAACTCCAAAAGCTAATGGAGGAGAGCGAATTTACATTAAGATCTATATTCAACAAACAAATTAACAGAAACCAGTACTGGGCAATGCAAGTGATCGCATCATTGACAATATTCTCACTGTCTGTCGTGATCGTGCAAATGGGATCTTTGCACATAGTCAGAAAAATCAGAAGCAAATTTAAATTTTAAAAAAATAATAAGCTGAACAACTGCAGTTAAAAATGCTATCAAGACAGATCAGTAAAAACAAACACACACACACAAGAAGAAATCTAGAGACACGTTAATGTTTGATTTCAGGCTTCAATCCTGGGCCAAATGATTCAACTAACTTTAGGGGTCAATACTGTTCCATCACTGAACTACACAAATGAATCAGACCCACGCTGGTAGGAATAATATGCCACACAGATTAAAACCATTCGGCTCCACAGCAGAAGGTTGCAACCGTGCAAAGCTCACTGTTGTTAATAAAAAGAGTAGGCGCTCAACAGTATTCAAAAAATATATATATATACACACACACGATACAATGCATCGTGAAATGGGGTGAATAGATAGATCATCATGATCACATCAAACTGACAGGCAGCACTGACAATCCTCACACCATTAATCAGCATCATTAGCTGCAATGCATTACCTGGGACGTTGTGTATTTCACCAAACTTTATCATGTCCTAATGACTGAAATTGACACTAATGTACTTTTAATTCATGTTTATCAGCCTTATTCATCTTCCCTCAAATAACCCACCAGATCAGTTGTAAATACATTGATCGCAATGCCTTTTGAAAATCATCATTAAAATCCGGTGATGAACAGAATAAGATGTGGGGAGAGGGAGAAGGTGGGAGGGGGAAATATGATCAATATCAGTCTGAGAAATGGGGCCCCTCCAAAAAAAAAACTTTTGACATCTCCAATTGCTGGAGCGACTGTATGTAAGCTTTTCACCAGAAGAGATCTCATTAAAAAAAAGGGGAAGGGGGGGGGTGGGAGGAAAACACTTGTTCATATTTTAACTGAGAGAAAACCGACAATCTTTTTTTTATCAGCTCCCTGTGCAAAGCCCAGATGGGGTGTTTTTATTCTCTCGCAACTCTCTTTTTTTGTGATATTTTATATATATATATATATGATATATATATATGAATAAATAAACATCTTGCGAATCCATGGAACATTTCAGGAAAACTTTAATGAGAAGGGGTTTGTGAAACAGATACACACACACACACACACACAGAAAGAGTGTCAGAAGAGAAACACAAGTGGCTCAGAATCAGAACCTCTCCTGGTTTAAAATAATCCATCACATCCTGAGTGTGTGGAAAGGAAAGGAAAGGAAAGGAAGGGAGGAGGGAGAGAGAGAGAGAGAGAGAGAGAGAGAAAGAGAGAGGGGAGAATAGGAAAGAAGGGAGGAAGGAACTAAAAATAATCCATGAAACATGGAAAGGAAAGGAAATGAAAGGAAAAGCAAAGGAGTGTGTGTGTGTCTGTGGGTGGTGTGGGGGGGGGGGGGGGGGGGGGAGGGGGGGGGGTGTAGGAGAGAGAGAGAGATAGAGAGACAGAGAAAGGTGGACAAATATAGATAGAGAGATAAGAGAGAGAGAGATAATGACTCGGATCATCTTCTTTTACACATGAAAAGACAGACAGACAGTGAGTGTGTGAGAGAGAGAGAGAAGAGAAGAAGAGGAGGAGAAGAAGAGAAGAAGAAGAGAAGAAGAGGAAAAGAAGAAGAGGAGGAGAGGAGGAGGAGGAGAAGAGGAGAAGAGGAGGAGGAGGAGAGGAGGAGGAGGAGAGGAGGAGGAGGAGGAGGAGAGGAGGAAGAAGAGGAGGAGGAGAGGAAGAGGAGGAGAGGAGGAGGAGGAGGAGGAGGAGGAGGAGTGGAGGAGGAGGAGGAGGAGGAGGAGGAGGAGGAGGAGGAGGAGGAGGAGGAGGAGGAGGAGGAGGAGGAGGAGGAGGAGGAGGAGGAGGAGGAGGAGGAGGAGGAGGAGGAGGAGGAGGAGGAGGAGGAGGAGGAGGAGGAGGAGGAGGAGGAGGAGGAGGAGGAGGAGGAGGAGGAGGAGGAGGAGGAGGAGGAGGAGGAGGAGGAGGAGGAGGAGGAGGAGGAGGAGGCGGAGGAGGAGGAGGAGGAGGAGGAGGAGGAGGAGGAGGAGGAGGAGGAGGAGAGGAGGAGGAGGAGGAGGAGGAGGAGGAGGAGGAGGGGAGGAGGAGGAGGAGGAGGAGGAGGAGGAGGAGGAGAGGAGAGGAGGAGGAGGAGGAGGAGGAGGAGGAGGAGGAGGAGGAGGAGGAGGAGGAGGAGGAGGAGGAGGAGGAGGAGGAGGAGGAGGAGGAGGAGGAGGAGGAGGAGGAGGAGGAGGAGGAGGAGGAGGAGGAGGAGGAGGAGGAGGAGGAGGAGGAGGAGGAGGAGGAGGAGGAGGAGGAAGAGGAGGAGGAGGAGGAGGAGGAGGAGAGGAGGAGGAGGAGGAGGAGGAGGAGGAGGGAGACTGTCACATCACAGACCTTTATGCATTCCGGTGAAGCGGTCCTTCAGCACCGTCAGCTCGTAGATTTTACCAAATTCCTCGAACAGGGGCTTTAGATCCTTCTCCTCCAGGTTGCGGGGGATTTGGCCGATGAAGAGTTTGATGGCGTCGTGGTCCTTCATGGGGATGGTGTTCTGGCTGTGGCTCAGTCCGTTCATTCGGGCGCTGTTGTTGTTATTGGTGTTGTCCTGATGCTGCTGTTGCCCTCCGTTGGGTACCGTGGCCATCTTCAACCTGTGTCCTGGGTCTCTCTCTCTCTCTCTCTCTCTCTCCTCCTCTCTCTCTCCTCCTCTCTCTCTCCTCCTCCTCTCTCTCTCTCTCTCTCTCTCTCTCTCTCTCTCTCCTCTCTCTCCTCTCTCTCTCTCTCCTCCTCTCCTCCTCTCTCTCTCTCTCCTCTCTCTCTCTCCCTCTCCTCTCTTCCCACTGGCCTCTCACGTCAGCCTCTTTAACTGGCAGGTTGTGCGAGCCCTGACGTCAGGGTTGCCTGGTTGGTGCTAAACAAATGTGGCTGAATTCACAGCCACATCCACACACACACACACAGAGAGAGAGAGAGAGAGAGGAGAGAGAGGAGAGAGGGAGGGAGAGAGTCTTAAAGCCACATCCACACACACACACACACACAGAGAGAGAGAGAGAGAGAGGAGAGAGAGAGAGAGAGGGAGAGAGAGGGAGAGAGTCTTAAAGCCACATCCACACACACACACACACACAGAGGAGAGAGGGAGAGAGTCTTAAAGCCACATTCACACACACACACACACTATATATATATATTCCCTAATAACGAGCATCACAATCCTTGCATTTGATACAGAGCCTTATCTTACGGCGCCCGCCCCGCCACCTCCTCGCTCGCTCGCCCGCTCGCTCCCACCCACGCTCGCTCGCTTCGCCCCACCATTGCCGGGCGATCTCTTCTGCCACTCGGCCCACCCACGCCAACCACCGCCCTCTGGAACTCCGTCCCGCAGTCCCTCCCGCCTCCCTCCCTCCCTCCCTCCCTAAGCTCCTTCAACAACCATCTCGAGGAACCCGCTCCTCTTCGACCGTGCTTTCGAACACCCCGCTTCCCCCTCCCTGATCCCGACTCATCCCACCACCCACCCACCACCTACCTCCCACCCCCCTCCAAACTTGAGTCCGAAACTCTTTCTGTCCAGCAGCTTGAGATGTCCTCCCAACCTGAAAGGTGCTATACAAATGTGATTTTGCTGTTGTTGTTGTTGTTCTCACGCCTTCGAGACGTCTCAAAGCGCTTCGCATGATATACCATCAAGTGAATTGCCCGTATATTTTGTGGGGCAAAACACGGCAGCCAGCTGCGCAGAGCGGCGTCCCACAAACAGTCGTGGATCGAGCGACCAAATTGTCATTTTGTTTTATTTCTGTTTTTCCCCCCCTCGAGGGATTATTATCAGGCTGTGCGGAGTGAGGAAACTTGCCCAAGGTTTCGCCCTGCCGGGAATCAAACCCAGGTCTCTCACTTGCGGGGCGAGTGTTCCAACCACTGAGCTACAGGACTGCACAAATTGCCTCCTGCCTCCCTCTCTCTCACACACACATCAACTCTCTTTGCAACTCCAGGACTGTTGTAGAATTCAAACACCCCCCCCCATAAAAAAAGTAGAGAGACACATAAACAGAAAGACAGACAGAGAGAGAAAATAAAAGCATTACAGACAGAGAGAAAGTAAAAGCATCGCACACACCCACCCAGATCAAATGGAACCATGTGCTTGCTGGAATCTTGCATTTTTCTGCTCAACAATGTGTTTCTTTTTATACGCTTCCCCACCCACCCACTAAAGGACTACAACCACAACTCACTTAGACTGAGTTGTAGCGCTCAAAAACAATTTAAAGGTTATTCTTCTCCAAAGTGCGAAAAGATATATTTTTTGACAAACCCAATTCCTACTCAATCTCCCACCAGGTGATTAGCAAAAAAAAATACCATGCAGAGGATGTACATGTTTTGAGATTTTAGGATATATATGGATTGAATTTGTGATATTGCTATTTTAAACTCACTCTCTCTCTCGCACACACACACACGTATTTTCTCTGGTCCCCACAGTCAAGAATGCTGGTTTCATTGCTTTACTACGCAGTTACAAGTCAAAAGTTATACATAACTTTTTATAAGAGACTTGTCTACTCTCGGGAATTCGCTCCATGCAACACTTACTAAAGTAACTAAATAACTGCTCAACTTTATTTACATTTAGAATTTTATGAGCCACAAAAAATCATGGAGAGAAAGAGAAGAAGTTTCTCCCAGTGTCCTTGCCAACAATCCTCAAATAAAATTGCTTATTCACTTAATGGCTGTTTGTCGGAGATTGTTGTGCGTAAAATTGGCTGCGACGTTTGCCTACAAAGCATACAGTCACTCCACTTTGCAGTAAAATCCCATGAAGGACTTTGAGTCATCCACTCAATATGAAAGGCACAATATTAAATGCAGGCATTATTATCATCATTTGTTATTATTAAACTGCAGAGCCCAAGCTCAATTCAGATGATTTTAATGATCAGGTTTTTGCAAAGCAGTTGGCTTCCAATAATCTAAACCATCAAGATCCCAGTTTACCAATATCTTGGAATTGTTAGACTGATTACTTCTGAAGTACAGGTAGTTTTGCTTTTGGATATCACAAGACCTCAATCATCCAAAAGCTGTGAAGCTGTTCTGTCTTGTACCATCACATGCCTTGTAATGGCAGATTTCTTATTTGGAATTATATCAATAACAATTTGGCCCTTGGAGCCTAATGCTCCTTCACTGTTGCCAACTACTCTAATCCCAATTCCCTATTTGTTTCTCCCCAAAAAGCTTTTATTTCATTCCTCCTCACATTTATCCAATTCCCCTTTAACTACTGCGATTTGAGCTACATTAACCATTTATAACAGAGCGTCCCGTGTTCTATTGGACCCTCTTCATGAAGTCTTTTCTTTCAATCTTCCCCTTAACTCTTCCTGTAAATGTCCCTCATGTTCATGTTACTGATTTACAAACTGGGAGGTGAGGAGGGGGGAGAAACGTTTGCTGTGTATCTTCTCAAAACCTTTCAGAAACTAATGTCTCCATATCTCGTCTTCCCAACACTTGCTCACAATTTATCAATGACGTGCAGAGCAGGTGAAGCACCTCTTCCTATTTACAGGGAAATGAATCATTCTCGGAGAGAGGAGAGAGAAAGAATAAGAAGCACTTGGCACCTAAAAGGTGCTAAAAGAATTTCCTGCTTCACACCTGAAACAGGTGGAACTTACCGGCAGTCAAGACATCAATGCTTATACCTTTGACGCAATGGGGTCGAATTTGGCGAGCTGTGCTATCATGTTCAGACACACATGTACAGAGGGAACTCGATATGTGCATGTTACTTAATTAGCTAATGGAAAGGATCACAGGTGATTCAATAACAGTTTTATTGGTGGATAATTGCATAATTCAGGGCACCTGTTATTCCCTCTGTACACCTTTGTTCATCACTGGTTAGCAAACCTCACATATTAGATAGACACTCCACGACACAAAGCAACGAATAAAGCGAAATAAGGAAACGTGCTACAGAGAGTTTGCTCTGTGTCGGACCAATAATATTTTTTAAAAAAACTTAAACAAGTTATGGAACTTAGAGTGACTTGTTTTGAACTCTCCATAGTGTTTACAAACATTTCTGAATCTTATCACAAACACAGTGATCTGTTTATTAAGCCGAACATGTGAAATGCAAGTTGTTGTGGTGGGAAGAAGCTATCTATCTCCTAACCACCCACAGTCCACTGGGGGAAATCGTGTGTGTCTACGCGAATGTGGAGTGATGTTAATTTGCGCTTTACATCTAGTGAGTTTTTACACACAGGATGATCACAGAATGAAATCGTGCCATTTCATCACTCGCCAGTTAATGCTCGTGCCTGATCAAGTCATAGCGTCTCACACAATGAGTTACTTTAAAATGCGAGTGACGGCTATCGTTGTGACTGAGCACAGCAGATAGACTGCACCAGCAGAATCCACACAAACAATCAGACTAATGATCAAATTTGAATCTGATTTACAAATTTGAGCACCATGGGATTCACTGCTGTACAGCATCCACATTGACCAACCTTTTGTTGGCTGTCAATTGGTGTCATCCTGTTGGTAGCACCCTCACCTCTAGATCAGAAGATTGTGGGTTCAAACCCCATGACAGGATTCTGGGCTCATCGTCAAGACTGATAATCTGGTGGGGATGGGGTGGTGGGGGTGGAAGCTACACTGTTACAGATGTAGTCTTTTGGATATGTTAAGATAATAATAATAATAATAATAATAATAATAATCCTTGCATTTGATATAGCTTCTTATCACATCTTCGAGACGGCGCTAGCTATACAAATGTAATTTGCTGTTATTGTCTCAAAGCGCTTAAGATACTGTAAAGTGAATTGATTGTATATTTGTGGGCGAAACGCGACAGCCAATTGCGCACAGCAGTGTCCCACAAGCAGTCATGGATTGAGTGACCAAATTATTTTTTATTTAATTTTATTGTATTTTTGAAGGGATTATTATGAGGATTATTATAAGGCCTTGTGCGGATTCTAAAGATCCCATGGCAATATTCAAAAAGAAAGAGAATTTCTCCCTTTGTCCTGGCTAACAATCCTCCAGATAAGATTTGCAATTGCCTTCAATGCTATTGTGGGATTTTGAGTGCTCAAACTAACTGCCATGTTCACCCACAAATACACAGTCACTACACTTCACAGAGCTTGGAGAGGTTATTGATTTTTATAGTTAAATGCTCACCATTGGGGTGAGAACACTATAACTAAAGTGAAATCAAACTGGGACTTGACATATATTTGTTATCACAAAAATATGCTTCTATCTGACTTGCACACTGCTCCATTTCATCACCTTCCCATCTGAACTTGCCAGTGTTATTGGAGAATCAATACTTTTACATAAAAAATATTACAGATAAAGAACAGTCCAGAGGGAGCACTTTCTGTTCAAAGTACTCCACCTGGATTATAGATGTCATCTGTATTGTAGGTAAGAATCTTTGTTTCTCTATATATATATACAAAAAAGAATTTGGTGACTCAATTCATGACTGTTTGTGGGACACTGCTGTGCACAATTGGCTGACATGTTTCACCCACAAAATGTACAGTCAATTCACTTTACAATATATTCTGTGAAGCACTTTGAGACACCTCAACAACATGATAATGGAAATGCAAGGATTATTATTATTATGACATGGGGTCCACCT